CCTGGAACCTGGGCGACAGCAGCTGCAACTCTATGTGGGACAACACACGGACCAATTGAAGAATCGTGTAAGCCCAAGTATTCACGAGCCAGGATAGCAACCCCACCAGAAGAGCCCTGACCATCTCCCCTGGAGGCCGGCAAGAAACGCGATTTCCAACCTGGACGTGAGGCCCACTGAGAGGCCTCGCTCACCTGGACATCGGTGACCAGGTGAGTCTCCTGAAGCACAACTACATGAGCGCTGGTCCTGGATAACCAGGCCTTCGCACGACCCCACCCCGTGCAATTTGCGGTCTCTAAACAAAGTTCAAAACTGTCCGAGCGAGCTGGGACCCTGAGACCAGAGCAACATTCCAAGGAAGGGTCCTTGGAGGCGGGTAGGCGAACCAGCCTTGAGACTGCAGGGGAGAAGTCCCCTTCCAAAAAGTTATGACTGGTAGAAAACCCCCTCGCGACCGCGAGCCCAGAAGAGGCCCTGACTGGTGGCGAGGGGGAATTAAGCTGAGGCAGTGTCCGCAGCGGCAGGCGGGACGAGAACGGCACGAGCGCGCTCACGGACGTCAGGGGCGGGGGCCTCAGGTGGTGCCGCAGCTGCTCCATCACCTTCAGGTGGAGCTGCGTCTCCTCCGTCGCGTCTCCTCCGTCGCCACCGCCCTCGGGCGCTGAGGGCGCTCCTCCGCCGCCCGTACCTCCACGCGGTGCAGGCGAGCCTGGGGCGGCCTGCATACCCTCCTGCTGGTCCACCACCTTGCGCTTCTTGGCGGTACGCTTGACATGAGCGGCGTGATCAGCTCGAATCTTGTCGATGGATAATACCATGTTGGCGAAGAGGTCCTTAGTGAGAGAGGCCAGCCCCTCCTGAAGCTCAGCGCGACGCTTGTTGAACTCCTCCAGGTCCTGCGGCGACAGCTCGTAGTCGGTGTCGTCCAACTTGAGCAGCTCGTCCCCGTCGGTGAGGAGGATGGCGTCGGGCTTGCCGTCCAGCACAGCGCGGATGCGGATGCCACCAGGAGCAGGAGGGGCAGCAGCAGGCTCAGGCTGTGGCTGGATGACCGCCTTGTGGAGGCGAGTGACCAAATCCTTGTGTATCTGGTCTTGGACATCGAGCTCGGACTGGGCGTCTGAAGCCGCCTTGGTACAGTCGGCGAGCCACTTCTTGGCCCGCTCCAGGTTGTCGAGCTCGCGGGTGAGGCGCTTCTCCAGGATGCGGACCTGCTGTAGCGCCTCATTGGCCTGGCGCTCCAAGGGCTTCTCGACGGGACCCTTGGCGGCCTCCTGCTTTTGCTTCTTCCAAACCAGGTACTGAGACTTAGCAGCCTCGTCGCCAAACTTGGTGGCCATGGACAGCAACTGCTCGATCTCCCCGAGCGTGATGTCGGGCGGCATGGCTGCGCCCCCCAGAAGAGCGAGCGCCTTGCCTCCGCCACCACCGCGCTGCCATGACTTCTTTGCGCCACCCGCGTCATGCCCCTGATCGCCTCTTCCCGTGTGATCAGCGGCACCTTCGTAGCGCGGGCGACGGCAGTGTTTGCACCAAGTGAACCAGCTGAGGTTCTTGGCGCAGCCACAGTCTGGATGGGCACACTTCCACCTCTGGGAGTCGCCCCCCGAGTCTCGGCGCACCCCGTTGTTCTTGGACGTCCACGACCAGTCGCCACCTGCCATGGCTCCGTCGTGCTCTGGGGTCAGATAAGGGAAACCGAGCCACTGTGGCCCGCGTTCACCCAGCCGTTCTGAATCGTTGGTGAACGCAAACACAAAAACTTGTGCCAGAACGGCTGGACTTGAGCCAAAATGGCTTGAGCCAAAATGGCTACGGAGGAGGAGGAGGAGGAGGAGGAGGAGGAGGGAGGAGGGATGAGGAGGAGGAGGAGGAGGAGGAGGAGGAGGAGGAGGAGGAGGAGGAGGAGGGAGAGGAGAGGAGAAGGAGGAGGAAGAGGAGGAGGAGGAGGAGGGAGGAGGGTTCGGTTCGGTTCGGCCATCCTCGAAAGGGGGGTCGTGCCCTCTCAGCCGGGGGAGTGCGCCTCTAAAAAGCGGCACAGTCCAGGACGCCCGCCATGCGGGCTCATTTTGCCCCAGGGACAGGAACCCCAGGGCAAAGAAATCTGATGTTATAACGGGCCCAGACCCCGCGCGAACAGAGCGAAAGAAATCCCCCCCGTCTAACACAACCCTTAAGGAAGGAGGGAGGAGGAAGAAGAGGAAGAGGAGGAAGAGGAGGAGGAGGAGGAGGAGGAGGGAGGGAGGGAGGGAGGGAGGGCGGGCGGGGGCGGGAGGGAGGAAGGAGGGAGGAGGGAGGGGAGGGCGGGAGAGAGGGAGGGAGGGAGGGAGAGGAGGGAGGAGGAGGTGGAGGAGGAGGAGGAGGAGGAGGAGGAGGAGGAGGAGGGGAGGAGGAGGGGAGGAGGGAGGAGGGAGGAGGGAGGAGGGAGGAGGAGGAGGGAGGGAGGGAGGGAGGGAGGGAGGGAGGGAGGGAGAGGAGGGAGGGAGGGAGGGAGGGAGGAGGAGGAGGAGGAGGAGGAGGAGGAGGAGGGAGGAGGAGGAGGAGGAGGAAGGAGGAGCAGGAGGAAGACGGGCACAACGGGCGTCGTCTTACCTCAATCTGCCTCCTCCTGCCTTGTCCTGCCTTCACCTGCCTCCTCTGGCTCATTCCTGCTACTCCAAATGCTGCTCCTCTTCTTCCTCCGCTTCCTCCTTCTCCTCCTCTCCTTCTCCTCCTTATCCTCCGCTGGGAGGGTGAAATGTATCTGGGAAGGCGCCATGCACACGCCACATTCACGCGGACCTGCGGCGTTCGAGGTGCCAGCGCGGGCGGGCTGTCTACGGCACGCCGCGGTAGAACGAAGGCGAAAATCCCCGCACTGCGCAAGGGTCCTGCAAAAAATGTCGAGAACATGATCGACCGATGAACCCGGAAAGGGATATAGAAGTGTGAAGCATGGAAGTTGCTCAAGGCACCAAATTTGGGCGACGGGCAATTGCAATGCTCAAGGTAGCGATGGTGGTGTACAATGCCAGGGGCTGTGCTGTGCCGTCCTGTGATGAACTGAGACGCGCCATGCTGCGCTGAAGTGCTGCGCCATATTGCATTGTGGATCTGGTCGTCCGTGGCGTCACAACCCCGATCGAACTGATCTGGATCTTAAGCTCGAGCTGCCTGAACGCATAACTCATATCTGGCCGCAATCGAAACGCGCGGAACGCTCGACCAGCTCGAGCTCAAGATCCGATTCACTTCTGAAGCAGAGAGAACCGAAAGGGGGCGAATCTCGACACCTCTGTGCTCCGCTGCGTCGCATTGCTCGCCCAAAGCTGATTGCAGTCGAGACCCTATGAAAAGAGATGTTCCGCAACAGGTCAAAATGAGAATGGCGAATCCAAACCGAGTCGAAATGCATCGAAGGGCGTGCCGAAACGCCGACGACGACAACGACGGCGGACGGCGACGACCGCGACCGCCACGGTTCCATCTCGGGGACACCATGTTAGATACCGCTCTGGGTGGCCTGGACACGTGAAAACACGTGGTTCCAGCTCGGGACCACCATGTTAGGTACCTCAGGGGGAAATCTGGAAAATCACCGGTCGAAGAAAGAAACTGTGTCAGGTTATTACACATCTGGCGTTGATGTATTGATTTTGTTTGGCTCTTGTGGGCCGCCCCCGCGCTGGGGGGCGCCCAAGCGACCACGTGTCGATACACCCGTTCGGTGGCCCGCAAAAGGCGTGGACCCCCCTTGCGTCTGTCGCGGGCGGCAGGTCTGGAGGTGACCCTGTACGCCACGACAGATAACCATGTGTGCCCTGAACTTCTTTTTAATTAATCAACGGGGGGGGGTGACAAACGTGAAAACGCGGCGCGGCCTCCCCCCCCCGGCACCACCCCCGCGCCCCAGCGGGGAAGGGAACGAACCCCAGACCGCCCCTGGCACCCCCGCAGACGCGCCGCGACCAGCACCCCGGGCACTCCAAGAGGGGAGCGATTATTAAGCGATCCAGAGTACTCTATCTGGCGCTTGAGCCGTGTGAACTCCCCCTGTGGACAGGGGGGGCTCAATGGCCCCTTCCCCCTCCCCTCGCCGGCCCCCCTTCTGTGGACAGGGGGGAACAAGGAGGGGTCCCCCCCGTGGACAGGGGGAACGCAAGTCCCCTCCCCTCCCCCCCTCCTCCTCCTCCTCCTCCTCCTCCTCCTCCTCCTCCTCCTCCTCCTCCTCCTCCTCCTCCCCCTCCTTCTCCTCCTCCTCCCCCTCCTCCTCCTCCTCCCCGAGCCCCCCTTGTGCAGACAGGGGACGAAGGGGATGGTCCCCCTGTGAGTCGGGAGGACACCAGGCCCCTCCCCCCGCGTGGCGCCCCATGGACGAAGAGACCACTCACACTCCCGGGAGGTCCTGGGGGAGGTCCCGCCTTCGAGGTTGGCGGCACCGACCGGAGGGCGAGGGCCTTCACAATGGATAATCCACGTTCACAAAGGAGCCGCGTGCATCCGCGTAGCTGTATCCCATGATTGCAACTACGGTCATATAGTTCGAGGTATCAGGCCTGAGAACCATCTCGAAAAGGTGCCGCACCCCATCGGTGTAGCTGCTGTGCAAGATTGACATATATGATGACCTCTCAAGCGAGAGCCACGTGAGCAACACTTTGACAAAAAACGATTCGCCATCCGTCCGCGCAGCTCCTGAAAATCGTGAGACGAATGCGTGCAGTGCCAAGGCGAGATCCGGACTCTGAAAACGACACGTCCTACTGATGATAACGTTTAAGACGAATGTGCGGGACGCTAAGGCGAGAGCCACATGCTTGAGAATAATTCGACCTCGGTCTGTGTAAATGTCGGTAGCCTTACGCTTCAAAGTTATAAACTGCGAGGAAGCTTCGAGGCGAAACGCCCAGTCCGCCCTACCGACGCGCGTGGTGGTACGACGACGGGAAGGAGTCAGCCCTGACGACAGAATGATATGGAGAAGGGGCAGCAGCAGGCGTCAGGCAACGCTCTGGCACCAAGAACACGAGGGGCGACACGAGCATGACGTACGTCAGTGCGTCCAGCCGCCTGTTCAAGCGAGCGCCGACCTCCTCCTCTTCCTCCTCCTCCTCCTCCTTATCCTCCTCCTCCTCCTCCTCCTCCTCCCCCTCCTCGTCCTCCTCCTCATCATCCTCCTCTTCCCTCCTCCTCCTTCCTCCTCCTCCTCCTCCTCCTCCTCCTCCTCCTTATCTACCTGCCCCGCCTCCACTCTATTCGTCTCTGCCTCCCTCCCTCCCTCTTCCCTCCCCGCCGTCCCTGCTCCTGTCTCCTTCCTCCCCCCTTGTCAGTCTTCCGCGTCCTCTCCGTCTCCTCTTCCTCCCCCTTTGCGACCAGAGCAGCGCACCCAGAGTTCAGGACGCCACTTTACGCCTAGATCAACTGCTCGCTGCACAACCATTAACTGGGAACGCCCCCCTGGGAGCACGCGCACCCTCGCCTACCCCGGGCTCCGTGAGTTTTCCTCTTCTTCCTCCTCCACCTCCATCTCCTCCGCTTCCACCTCACGTGCGAACGTCAACTCTACCGCTGCCACTGTTGCAGTCACGGCGACAGGTCTGTACGCACTACGTACAACAGCAGCAGCAACAGCACAAACACACACACACACACACACACACACACACGCACACACGCACAGAGTTGCGCGCGGCCTGGTGTCCTGGCGACCACAGGAGAAGAGGAGGAGGAGGAGGAGGAGGAGGAGGACGATAAGGAGGAGAGAGGGAGGGAGAGAGGCTGGATGGGGTGGCCCATAGGGCGCCGGTCGCATCCTCAAGCACGGATGCTTTTAAGGAGGCTGACCAGGCAGGAGGAGACCCCCGCGATGGAGCATACCCACACCGACCATTGAGCCTCCAGGCGGGCAGGTCCATGGCCACTTATCGTGCCAGGATAGCCCGCGATTGAGGGGTCAGCGGCCATCACGAGTGGTATGGGCCAGTAGAGAGTCCGCATCTCAACTGCCGGGGGCTTCACCTTGCCCCCCAGCCCCCGCCAACAGAACAGCGTGCGGTACGCACCACTGCAGACCAGCAGTCAGGGGGGGGGAACGGAGACCCTCCCTGGGGAATTCGCCGGCCCAACGGGCCAGAGGCGTGCTAAGATCTCCGGTAACTGGTTAACAATAATTCTAGTTCGCGCGCGCGGGGCGGCCCCTGGGCGCCCCCTGGCGAAAAGTACCCCGCCCGAAGCCCGGGAGCTATTACTCAGAGATGGTTTCCCTCCTGGGCGCCGCCTTCCACGCCCCCCGGAGCGCGCCAAGAGGGCCAAAAGAGGCCCCCAAGACGGTCCAAGAGGGCTCCGAATCACCGAACGATCGGCCCAAGACGCCCAACACGGCGTCAAGACGGCCCAAGAGGCCTCCAGGACGTCCCAAGAGAGCCCCGACCCTCCCCAAGAGAGCCCCAAGAGGCAAATATCAATTATTATCCCTAGGTTTTTGAAGGTTTTTGGCTTCCTCGCCTTTTCGCCTTTCCGACGCTCCAACTCCAAGACGGCCCAAGAGGCCCCCAAGACCACCCCAAGACGGCCCAAGAGGCCCCCAAGAGAGCCCCAAGACCGCCCAAGAGGGCCCCAAGACAGCCTAAAAGGCGCCCAAGAGGGCCCCAAGAGGGCCCAAAGAGGGGCCCAAAATGGAGACCACGAGCCGAAAATCCCAGCCTTCCGCTCCAAGATGCCTCCAGGACGCCCCAAGAGGCCCCCAAGAGGCTCCAAGAGGCGCCAAGAGGCCCGAAAGAGACCCCAAAAGGCTCCAAAACAGAGCCCCAAGAGGCAAAACTCAGTGATTTCCATCAGGTTTCTGAAGGTTTTTGGCTTCCTCGCCTTTTCGCGTTTCCGACACTCCAGGACGGCCCAAGAGGCCCCCAAGAAGCCCCCAAGACCACCCCAAGACGGCCCAAGAGGCCCCCAAGAGAGCCCCAAGACCGCCCAAGAGAGCTTGAAGACAGCCCAGAAGGCGCCCAAGACGGCCCAAGAGGGCCCCAAGAGGAGCCCAAGATGGAGACCACGAACCGAAAATCCGAGCATTCCGCTCCAAAGAGGCCTCCAGGACGCCCCAAGAGGCCCCCAAGAGGCCCCAAGAGGCTCCAAAACGGAGCCCCAAGATACAAAAATCAGTGATTATCTTAGGTTGTTGAAGGTTTTTAGCTTCCTCGCCTTTTCGCCTTTCCGCCGCTCCAAGACGCCCCAAGAGGCCCCCAAGACCCTCCCCGAGACGGCCCAAGAGGCCCCCAGGACGTCCCAAGAGAGCCCCGACCCTCCCCAAGAGAGCCCCAAGAGGCAAATATCAATTATTATCCCTAGCTTTTTGAAGGTTTTTGGCTTCCTCGCCTTTTCGCCTTTCCGACGCTCCAAGACGGCCCAAGAGGCCCCCAAGACCACCCCGAGACGGCCCAAGAGGCCCCCAAGAGAGCCCCAAGACCGCCCAAGAGGGCCCCAAGACAGCCTAAAAGGCGCCCAAGAGGGCCCCAAGAGGGGCCCAAGATGGAGACCACGAGCCGAAAATCCCAGCCTTCCGCTCCAAGAGGCC